GGCCCGAAGGCCCCAAAAGATACATAGCCCATGGAATACAGAACATTTCGCGCCCACAATTAGCTGGGGCAGCGTCCAGCGCCCATGAATGGCCGTCGTCGTGATTGAAGCATTGTCTGCAGATCGCATCTGTAACGCCAAGCTTGGCTCAATGACCTATCCATAGAACGATCGCCGCCAAGGCGACAGGGGGGGTGCGCTCCAAAATCCAAAATAGAGCTGGCAGGGACAATGGCATGTGCATGTCAATCAATCACTAGGTAGCCGAAAGCTTGCACTAGTGGCCTCGTGAAAGCTTGGCACACTCGCAATATTGAATTGTTCCCGCCGAAGAGGGCCGCTGAATGCGCTGCCGACAATAGATGATCCCTCACTTGGTGACGAAGGTCGGCCACAGTGTTTTAGCAAAACGGCACGCACGAGTTACGAGTCATGTGACGCTAAGACGTCTGGCTCGAGACTGGGCCAGTCTCGCATAGGTCATTCGCTTCGTACATGTACTATTCCGGCCACATGAATTTGATATTTTAAGCTTCTCGGTCCGCTCTAGATCTACATGCTCGAAACTAACAATCTTAGAATGACAGCCGCACTGCTATACGCGCTTGAAATGCAACGAAACATCAAAGAAATAAGCGAAAAAAAGAAAGAAACATGTCGTCATAATCCGTCGTAGAGTCCTCCTCATGCATATTGTAATCATCCAGAACTTTTCCGTCTTCACCCCCTCTGAGTCCTTTCTGCGGCATTGGGCGAATCTCCATTGCGGCCAACACCTTCCGAGTTCCCATTTGGCCGAGACTGCCCCACTTCAGACTGCCCAATGCTAATCTCCTCCGTATTCTCAACATCCTTTTCACTTTCATCTTTTCCATTCACGACTGTCTGTCCAGCCAATGTGGACTCTCCGCTCACTCTCTCCACCTTCAACCTCAATGCTTCTCTGATTTCATCGATAGTCATGACTTCCAGACATTCGGCGAATTCTCTCTTGACCACCGGTAGCAACGGTCGATTACCTTCCGCATATACCCATTGGCGGCCCAAGACACCAAGACTGCTCATTCTGTGGGCACAGATGACATCGACATCTGTGGTCAAGACATCACACATGCGGTCCAAGGGAAGATCATTTGCATCTGTTCCAAAGGGATTTTCGATTTCAAACGAAAGATGGGAGAGGCCGAGAAGCATGTATGCAGCCGCAATGCTATAAATATGGTATCAGTATGCGTTTCACGGTGACACGTATGAATACATGGAGCCAACAACTTACCAAGCAGGAATTGTGGCCCATTTGAAAGATCCAATCAACTGGAATGGCAAAAGGAGGATAAACACCCAAGTAATTTGAGCAATACTGATATTAAACGCCAGCTATTGTTTCTTGATGATTAGTTTCCAATTATTGGTAATGAGAAGGTATGTCTTACCGGTAAAGGAGTCATGAGCACCCTCTCACATCCTGCCAATATATCCTGCAACTGGTTCATCTGATCCATAAAGAAATTCTTGAGAATTGGCGACAATTTTCCTTGATTATCCATCAAATCGACATAGCATCCAAAAAAGCTCAATATCTCCAGCGGAAGGTTTCCATGCGCGATAGTGGCCTTGATCATCTTATTGGAGCTAGACCTTGACAAGGGTTTGATGTTGCGGAAGAATGTAGTGTGCAGAGTGCTTGAGATCGAGGAACCTGTCCTCCGTCGGTGTGGGTGCTGGTTGTACTTCGCCTCGAGTTCAGATCGAAGTCGACCATACTGTCAGGTTTGAATTAGTGCATGTCCCATCCTATCACAATCACAATACTTACAGTAGGCAAAAACCCAACCAAGTCTTTCAAATCATCCCAATCGGTTCCGAATTCTCCCCGGAGATGGTGCTTCAATGCATAAGCAAACCCAATCAATACCCGTATTGCGGTTGCTTTTGTTAATAGCTCTTCCTTGATTTTTGTTTCGTCGGCAGCGCTCAATGGTGCTCGCGTGGTTCTGGGCGCATTCTGACTGGATGGTGGTGGGACAGGTCCTTCCGGGATGCTCCACCACACAACGCGACTCGTCCCGCGAACGACTTTTGATAGTTGTGTCCAGAACCGCCTATTACAAGATACAGATCAGTATTATCCTCCGATGGAACTATATGCACAGAACAACCGAGATCAAAACATACCTTCCCTCGCTATATCTCTCATATGCACTGTTCACTCTGAAACCCAATGCCAAACTAGTAACCATACCTACATTCCCGCAAACCCGTTAGCATCCTTTCCAAAAAGATCCGAAGCCCTTTTTAATTATCACCACAATTCCCGGTATACATACCAGTCACTGTGATCAACAAACTATCCACCGCCAAGTTCAAATGATATGTCCCCACATACACCACAAGACTCGACCAAATCCCGACCAGCAGAAGTGTTGGAAGCATTCCTCCCAGTACACTCCCCCGGATACGCAAAGCGAACGGGATCTTCCCCCGTGCAAAAGGATCATAATGTACCTATTTTCAACCAACCCCCCACGTGAATTCCATTAGTTCAAATTCATAGCCAAACTATCCAAGTTTTAGGGACTCACAGGCGTATTCAAAAACTCATCAACATCATGAAGAATCGTCTGTCTCCGAAACTGCTCCATGGGAATTCTATCCGGCCGCATCATTTCTCTATTCCTTTCGATTTTGCGTTTATGCTCAGACTTGTAGATCCGGAGGTTATGTCGTGTATTTTATTCCCAGTCACAGCCCCTTCTATCCCTCCCTCTCTCTCTCTCTATCTTTCAGGCTTTCCAGAAATCACCGACCCAGTCGATGGAGCCCGAGCTATTGAAAGATATCGTGTTACCCACTGGGAGAACCGAACCGAATGACCCTTCCTTCCGACTCCCTTTAGCCCTTGTGTCGCTGCAGATCCAGTCTATCTCTCTCTCGTGCTCGTGCTCGCGAAAGCAAAAAAAAAAAAAAAAAAGAAGAGGGCGCACGCACTACCCCTCCCGTGAGAATGGGATGGAGAATAGGTAAGTCGATAATGCTGTTCTTGTTGCTACGCTCGACTTGTTGCCGCAAACCACCACACCAAAGAATCTCGTCACGTTATTATTGCACACGAGGTTCTGTTCTTGACGTTTCTTTCGATATTGCTTTGCTGCAGCCAGGGGGGGGGTTGTAACGTGACAGCTGAAGTACCGGAGGGGAGGGGGCGCTTTGCAATCGGAGAAAAGAAACGAAGACGGAGAAGGTCTACAAGCGGCTTGCAGATGCAAAGGAGGAGAGATGGGAATCAGAAAAGCAGGCTCGACAATGGATGGGATTATTTTTTGCTTTTTCTTCCACCCTTCCTCTATACGATGAGGCGAAGATCAAGGGAGGGAAGAGCGAGAGGTCGAGGGAGAGATATGATGCGGTGATGCGGTGTGCGGCGCTGGCTGTACCTCTTACCAGGTTCAGTAGGTACCACCCGGCTACCTGTCGCTGCGGCTGGACTCCCCTACGGTCTGAAGAGGCAGTATGTAGGTCCTTCTTAGATCTTCTGCGCAGCATCTCATTGGAAACCCTAGAGATGCGCGATACAGCGCTGCAAGCTGGGGACGCGCAAAAAAACAGGGCTATGCTATACTGGGAGGGAAGTTCATTGGCTGCCAGCTCAGATTATCGATCTACATCATAACGAGCACATACGCAGGTTGAGGATTGGAACATAATATACTTAAATTAAGGATACAGTACTTCGAATTCATGTTACAGCCTCTGGAGAGGTACTCGAGTGACAAGCACACAAGCTAGGGGGTGGGAACTAATTGAGCCGTCTCCGGTGAATTAAGCATTCAATATAAACTTCCATTAAGGACCACTACGTACTATACACTCGCACTCTGTCGTGATCACTACCTCCTACTCTAGTTTTTTTTGTGTGTATGTTCAACACGTAGGTTGGCAGGTGCCTTAAGCTAAAGACAGGGACTCGAGTTCAGCATGCATCAAATATCCCTGCACCTGATAGTGTGGTGGAACATGTTGACATGCACTTCACTATCCGTACGGGCAATCCATCAGACTGTGTGTGTGTGTGTGTGGTTACAGCCGTTTAAAAGCAAGGGCAAGGTAACAGGGGGATAAAAAATGATGATCAATCTTTACATCTTCTCGCCGGTTTTTATAATTACTTGCGGAGAGTGTGAATGTATACGTATGATTATCGGGTTTTTTGCATCATAAGTTCGGACGGCGTGATAACGTCCATGGACTCTGTTCCCGTGATAGGAAGTTGGTGTGATTTCCTGTTTGGGAGGTGGAAAGTTACACTGCTACTTATGCTACAAGTAGGTACTGCTACTGCTGTCAGCGGAGATGAAGAGGGGTAAAGAAAGTGGAAAAGTATGTATTCCTGACATGTGCTGCATCATATCATGATCATTTTCCTCAAGGCAAATCGCATGCATTCCAGTAACTACATGTCTTGAAAAAAATAACTGAAATACCCGGCACTCCTGCAATTACCGACTGTGAATTATCGTAGACAATATCGATATTTCGCATCTCTATATCCCTATTTGAAGAAACTTAAGCTCGGTCCGGATAAGAGAAATTAAATTTACATTATATACCAATATCGATCGATCACGGAAAACGTGACCTAGTCTCGATCAGTTTCACAAACTGTAAATACAAACCCAACACACGAAACAATGTGCATCCTCAAAATCCACAATAACATTATTTTCCCTACAAACCTTAACCAGTGAAACCCACATGCACGTGCACATACCATCTCCCGCCATAAACAACGTTAACGGCACGGACTCCACCATCACCCACCGAGAAAACTGCACACCTCCAATCATAACTAATACACTGAAGTTTAAAATCGCAGATACCTGTTACCTTACTTCTAATAAAAGGGTATCTCTATACATGAAAGAAATCTGCAAAAACTACCCTGCCTTAGAGCAGCAAAACGACGAGAAGAAGCTAAATCAAAGAAACGACAAAAAGATTGTTGAATGGAGGGGGATTCGAACCCCCGCAGGTTTCCCTATGAGAATACACCAACTCTGAGGAGAAGGAAGCTATTATGCTAAGCTTGAGTCACACGCCATAACCACTCGGCCATCCATCCTATTGATATCAGTACTTCCTACGGATACGAGAACAGCACGTTCGTGCTATACTAGAGCTACATATCGAATTCATTAGGCACCTGAAGGTTTACGAGATCCCTCACGAGTAAACAAGCTCCTTTGAAAGAAACGAAACGTCCAAAGATTCATGACCAAAGCCAGCCACCTCATGATCATGATCAGAAACAGAAACGAAGAAACGAGAAGTTCGAAGAGGAGAAATTTGTCTAGACCTCATGATCACAAGTTGCAAGCTTTTCAACTCGATCGAGTATAAGAAAAAAATGTAAAATAAAGAAATGGCCGGCAGGAGAATGAAGCTAAATTTAAATTTAAAGAAGGAAAAGAAAATATAAACAAAATATAAGCAATTGCAATAGGCATATCAAAGAATTCGAAGAGAAAAACTTCAAGCAAAAGAAATTTAAAAGACGTCAAGCTTGAACAGATTTAAATCCGATATACATGTACAAATGGGCACAACAAAACAACATGCAACAAAAAAAAGAGAAATCTCCAGCAATTCAACTCCTCCACATGAATATAATGCGTCATGGCCACCATCTGAGTCTTTAAAAAAAATAAAAAAGAACTGCCGTCTGTGGATAAAAGCAAAAAAAAGAAAGAAAAAAATAAACAGGAAAAGACACAAAAATAATATCCAAAAACGTACGAGAAAGAACCCCTATCCCTTTAAGCTTGATACTGTATATACTTCAAGCTCCCTTACCACCATCACCGCAACTGGCATCCCGATGTTGTCCAGGCTGTGCTCCACCGCCAGTCGTCACCTTGACCAAATCCACAACCTCTCCCTGATTTTACAGCAACTCCTTCCTGACTGATTTCATGCCCTTGAAACCCTTCACAAACTTCTTCATCGGCGTAACCTCCTCCCTCCACCATTCCTCCTCCTCCAACCTCTCCTTCGGCAACTCCTTTAAGCTTTCCACCCTCTCAAAATCCCTGCTCTCATCTGCCTCCTCCCCTTCCCTCTCGTCGTCACCCTTCAACTCAACCTCCCCGGGCCCAAAATATATCTTCTTCCATTCCCTCAGCTGGGCTTTCCGTGCAAGTGAGAGATTGTTGTATCCCGGAAGAAGTACGCTGAGTTCCCTCCCGGGGATGCCAGAGTAGTCCATGACTTTCTCGACCTTTTCCCTTGAAAGCAGTTCCGAGAAACGGTCTAGAGGAACCAGCGTTCTCTGGACCCTTTCAGCGCACTTGGCTGGGATAACATCCGGGCTCGATCCGTCCGCTGTGTCGTCATCAGAGTCGGCGGCATTGTGGTCAAGCTTTCTCCGATATGGTGAAACTGGCGGTGGTGATGACCGAGGAGCTGGAGGCACGGGTGTTCGACTAGCAACGGAAGATTGTCTAGACGTGGAACCACTCGAAGAAGACCGGGCTGCAGGTGAAGTGATACTGCTGCTTCCAACGTCCGTTGTTCGATAACCACCCATCGATGCTCTTGGTTTGCGTGAGGGCTTTGATATACCACTTGCTGCCGACGACCGGCGGCTGGAGTGAGATGGCCCTGGGCTGGATCTAGGAGAAGCGCCGCCAAACGAACTATACCTCGATTTGCTATTGACAAGAGCATTAAATGATGGTCCGTTCTTGATGCCTTCCTTTGCGAGGATTGCTTGTAATATTTGTTGAGTCGCCGATATAGGGGCACTAGAGGGTGGTATTTCTGGCTGGAATTGTCCCTGAGTGGACTCGGGGAATTTGTTTGTGCGTCTAGAAGGCAAATCTTCTGATGGTGGAGGTGGCAGTCGTGGTCCTGCTGCTTGGGCGCGATCGTCAGGAACGCTCTGCGGAAGCTGTGCGGTGCCGTGAGATTCTGCCATTGGAGCCTGATCGAGATATTAGTGATTAGGCATAAAATCTTAATGAAAGATATACATACTTTAGTGCCTGTCTTGGGCGAGATGCTTGTTGCGGTCATGTTATTCACAGCATCCTTTGCTGGAGAAATATGAGGACTATCAGTCCTTGGAGGGTTTGATTTAGGAGATGCAGAATGCTCCACTTTATCATGCTCAGAATCAGTGTGAGACCCCGAAGTATGTACGCTCCCTTTCTCTGACGAAGTTAGCGACTCTATATACGCTCGCTTATGCTCTCTGGCCATTTCTGTGATGTCTATGAATTCTGCTTCCTGACTTCCAAAATCAAGCCTTTTCACGTATTTTCTTTTGCGATTGGATTTCAGACCTCCCACGGGGCCTTCTTCTGTATTTTTCCGTTTCAGGGATGAGTTGACTAGGTCATCTGTTGGCCCACCGTCTGTATCCGTAGTCTGCCTACCAGTTTGGCTGTCACGGGCCCTCGCTGCCGCCTGATTTTCATAAGCATAACACATCTAAAAACAAATTATTAAAAACATACCTCTTGCTCCCGGAGAAATCTCTTCCTGCTATACTCGGCCTGGTGTTTTCTATGCCTTTCCCGTTTTGCATCGTCAGAAATGGCTCTCGATCCCACTGAAAAGCCATAGCTATCCGTATCCTTCCAGATGAGCTTTGGTGGTATCACAACCGCAAATGTTTGACGCCGCAAATCACTCCCCTCGAGAGGGGATTTCTGGTCAGATGTTGGTGCACGAGCAACATCAACATTGGAGGCAGTTGACTTTGTAGGTAATCCAACGGTAATTGAATCCAGAATATCGGTATCGTTAGTAACCGTTTTAGTGGTGGGAACTTCAGCAGCATTTTTTCCCGCTTTCTGGACTGCAGAACTGAAGGCGGTTGCTGGTATTATTTCTTCATCATCAGAAGCGTATTTGGTATTAACCACATCCTTCCCACCCTTCCCACTTTGGTGATACTTTTTATTAGGATGGTCTAGTTCTGCAGCTTTAGGCAGAGCATGGGGAGTATCCGCTACCTGCACTATGGCACCCTTCTGGCGTGGATTTGTAGATGGAAAGGATTCAACGCTCTCAACGCTTGAGACCGACGCTCGAGATTTTTGGCCCCGTGCCGACTGTATCTTATGACTTACTCCAAGTCCACTTGGCTTTTCAGCCAGGGCCGGCTTCAAAGAATTTGGCTTCATAGTCTTGCCGGAATTCCCTGGTAATGAAAGCGATGATTTTGTACTCAACGCACCAAGATGCAAGGCAGATAATCGCTCCTTTTGAACAGCCCCAATGTTGATATTACCAGTACCACCACGATTCTTCAAATATGGCCTTGGCTCTGCTTGTGGAATCTCATCGTCACTGTCACTATCATCCCTAGTTGCACGGAGGCCATGGGTGAGGGCCGTATTAGGCGGTACTCTGTGTTTTGATGTTGAGCTGGTAGTTTTTGAATTGCACTGCACGATGATTGCCGAAGGATGACTTTCAATATCAATCAAACCACTTTCACCTGTCTGGTTTTCTGCAGCAAGATGAGGTTCCACGTCGTTGGAAATGCCCGAAGTGTTATTTTCAACTCCCATCGGCGGGGTATTCACACCGCTTTCTTGGGCAGATGGTAATTCTTCATTCAGAATATTTGACCGAGATGCAGCTGAACCAAGATTGTCTCTTGTAACAGTGATTTCAGAAACATCGGCTGCTGCAGGAGTTCCACTTTGAGATTTCCGCTCAATGCCCCCACTCTTTTCGTCACTAGAACTGTACCCATCATAAGGTTCTGGTTCACTTATTCTGCATTCTTCTTCACTTTCCGCTGGTAATCCTTTACTTAGCCGTTCTCTCCTGCGGACCTTTTCCTTCTTCTTTATGACCAAGTTTTGTGATCTTAAGATACCATATTTAGCAACATTGGTCATGCCAGTTGGATTCACCATCAGTGCGGCCTCGACGTCACTTTCCACTTCCGAGCTGTCTGTATAACTAGATTCTGGCTCGCTTCTTAACGTACTTGCTTTCCAAAGCCTTTTTTTTGTCGGTGTTACGTTGGAAGCTTCTGGTGAGCCGTCCTCAGATATTGAACTCCTGTCAGGAAAAGATGCTCCTTGCCTCCGTAACCGACGCCGAGGGGAATCATCACTATCTTCATCATCCAGATTATCTAGAGGGGTGGATGGCTTTGAAGGAGGTGACTTTTCGCTCTCAGATGGTGGATGTGACTTTATCTCAGAATTTGACGGGCCTATGCTCTCCCCATCTTCTGGAGTCATGTCAGTAACAGCCTAAAAATATTGTAATTTTAGCAACTCGTTTTTGTAGAGTAATCACACCTTCAATATCGGATACGTAAGATGATACTTGAGGTGTGTGTATAGTATTCGCTTGATCTGTTATTTGACAGGCACTACTGTCGGGGGGCATAATGTCTTTGCCGACTTCACCAAAAGGAAAGTCCTGGCTTGAAGACCATGACAATCCATCAAACTCGGAGTCAGATGATTCAACATTATGAAGAGATTTAGATCCATCTGGTGGCTGTGGAGGTGGCAATGGCGGCGCAGGTAGATCATATATACAATCAATTTCCTCGTTAATGGAACCCTTCTGGTGGATTGTGTCCTTTTTACCATTTCTATATGGTGGAAGCATGCTGTTCTTGAACCAAGCTGTAAAATGTCAGAAATACTATTTACCAGAACAATTGATCGGGGAACCCACAAGACTCATCCGCCAATTTGGCTTTCTGTTCTTTCGTAATTGTCACATCAGCACTTGTCACCTCTGTCATACCCTCCCACCCAGGATGGAATAATGAGTCGGAATTCAGCGAAGGAGGCCCAATGTATTCTAGAGGGGGTTTTGCCTTGCCCTGCGTCTTCTTCTTCCGAACACTATCGTGTTGATGCAATTGGGGCCCTTTCTGGTCATTTATTGCTAGTGGATTTGGCCGCATCCCCTTAGTTTTACCAGTAGCAGCCGGAATCCTAGTCTCGATTTCTACAGAAAATGACTGGCTTCCATTTGATAAACTGGTTGACTGATGACCAGTTGAGTTTTGACTTTTGCTCGAATCAGTCCTACTTCCCTGGCTTACAATCGAAGCCGACAATTTAGTAGGCCCCGGCC